AACACTTTTTCCCACGGCGGCGGGCGCTTTGTGGGTCTCCCCTTTTATTTTGTATAAAATTTGCATGGATAATTTGTCACTTTGAATGATGCTGGAGCTCTTTTTTTTCGAGTGGGCTACAACCAATCCCGATTTCCGGCTATGTCGATTTTTTTTCGTCCACCCAAACCCCTGGCGGCCAAAATTCTTGCGGGAAGTGCGGCAAATGTTACAAATTGTTGTCGTTGAAAATCACCCCTTAACCCTTCGCCACCCGGGCTCAAAATTCAGGCAACGCATCAGGAATTTCAGGGCAAACTTTAATAAACCCGCTTTTGCCGACTAATTTCACAATAAAACCAAATGGCAGCGCACCGAAAAAAGGACATCCTAGGGAGGCCCGAAAGAAAAACCCTTTTTAACCTCACATTTTATGGCACACATGCGCTAACAGGTTTAAAAATTACATTTAATGACAATTGGCAGAGTGCCCCGGTCCCTTGGTTTTTCCCGCTTTTCCCCGAATTTCCCTGCTTTTTCCGCTGAACATGTGTCGCCGATTCGAGATATCTCCGCAGTTCCGCGCGCAATTTCCAGGCAAGTTGCTCCCATTAGCCACATAATTTTAAGTGTGTGCGTTGCCCGAATTTCCACCATTTTCCCTCACGCTTTTCGCGGGTTGGGCCCAGCCCGTCGCGTAGAACGAGCTCATTTAATATTAAAAGGATTTATGAGACATTTTCCTTTCATTTTGACAACGAACGATGGCGATGGCGATGCCGATGGTGATGGAAGGGAGCGGAGCAGGGCAGGTGGGGCAAAAGTCTGAATAGCGAATGAAAATTCTGCCCCGTTGATGAAATTTTCGCTTAACAGAATTTGCAACGCTTGGCGAACGGCGGCGGAGCCTACGCACGGTTAAAGGGTTTTCCATTTTCCCAAACCCCTATCCTCTTACCCCACCGCCCTCCCCCCACTACCCTCAGCTGCCCGCAAGAACAACCCCTCGATTTCATTGCCTGGCAGAGAAAACCCCTCACCCGATTTCCGTTTGCCATTGTTGTGAGCTCTCGGCAACTTTGCGCTGGTTTAGCTTACGCCCGGGAATTATTTGAGTGCTTTTTGGGAAGCGTTCCGCAAGCGCCACCGCCGCCGCCGCCGCCCCCGAAAACGCCACGCCCCCATGGCGGAGCGTGTGAAAGTGCAGACGCCTCGAAAATCCTGTATCCTGTGTATCTTTGTACGGCTGTGTATGTGTGTACATTTTTGACAGATTTGAAAATTATTATGCAAAATGAATAATTTAGTTGAAAGTGTTAAATTGATTTGGCCTTTCCCACTAACATAACAGACATCGGCTTCTCAGCCCGGGAGATGATGGAGATGATGGCCATGTCGGCATCGCTTTTCATCCCCATCCCAGGAACCTCGAGTAAGATGAGCACATTCCGGATAAGTCGGGGCTATCGATAAAGCATCTCTGTCAGAATGAAATATGCATGCGACTTGTCAACCATCTTGCGTATCGATGAAAGGCCGTGATAAAGTGTCGTTTTTATTGTACTTTCCTATTTATATGCTACGCCTCATTAAAATCCACAGAGCTAGAAGAAAGGCGTAAATCTTTTTATTAAGTAATAAAATAGGTGTTGAATTGATTGATTGCCTCTTATTTTGCTTGTTTGAGGGTTATTTCTTCGTGCTCATCTTTTGTTTTCATGCAAATCGATTAAATGTAATTGAAAAGCCAACGCAACAAGACAAATTTAATTAAACAACTGGAAGGCAATGAAACAACTCCGTAATTCTTACTTTCAACTTGCTTAAAATCACAAAATCAATCAATTAAATTGCGGAGAAAAAATGTAATTGATTATATCTATGTTATAGATTCACCTGCTAGGTTTCATAAGTCATACGGATAATCCATTTTCCAATCAACTTATGTGAGTGCTAAGTGTAAGCCGAGCTAAAAAATAATTAATGCTTTTGTAAATATAGTATTTTATACATTTCCTAACCAGCGTGCAGCTCCAGATTGCAAGTGTTCTTTTTAAATGTACTCCTTTTCAGTGGACAACAGTTTGGTTGTCACTGTCGCGTCTGTTCCACATTAGACATCCATCCAGTGGGCGACTATCTTGTCAACTGCATTGTAACCGCTCCGCCCACTTGCGCTTCCGTGTGTCCTTTGCCCCTCCCCATTCCCTACTCGCCATTTGGCTGGCACGCCCACCGCTTGATCACGCCCACTCCTGACGTCATTTGTCAAATTTTCGGCATTACCCGGCCAAAAAGACATGGCCATGGCCAAACATTGTGCCAGTTGTTGGCCCCACCCACTCGACCCGAAGCCACCTTCATCCCCGCAGGACATCCGGCGGCTCATCGCAGTCCTTGTGGCTAATATTGACATTCCTAATCTGTGCTCCGCTGCGGCGGCCGTTAAAATGCCGTGTCACTTCGTTAGTATGCGTGTGTGGTGCCATTTGTATCCGAGTATCTGAGTATCTCAGTATCTGCGTATCCTTGTAGCCTGGATATCCGTGTTTCCCCGTAGCCGCATGTGTATTTGTCTTGAGGTCGCGTTTGGTTCGCTTTTGGGTGTGTTTTGTTTTTGATTCATGCCCCGCTATCAGTACTGGGCGTGTTCCCGAACTGGTTCATTTATATTTGATGATGACATTGCCGACATTGGCCGAGCAATCAAACTCCCGTCCCCAGTTTATTAGTTTAAGTAGCTCCATTCTGGGAGTGATTAGTGCAGCCAAAGTGCGTTGTGGTCGACTGCTAAGTGGGAGTCTGTAACTGCACAGGGAAAACCACTTTTGACCACAATAGATGGTCAAACATCTTTTAGATTTGACAACGTGACAGCTAGAATTATTCAGGAGAGAGCACTCTGTGCGTAATAGAAGATAACAAGTTTTTATTAGTTGATGTCCCATGCAATACTATTTATTTCCATGTTTAAAGTTGATGCCTTTAAGTGGCTGAAATCACTGAAGGCATCAAACAGCAATTTTCTGTCAGTGCACAGACCACACTCAAAGTGCTGGCCACTGCAGTTTGAATCGCTTTTTAACAACGCTGCAATTTCTGTGCCCATTTTGAGGCTGGTGATGATGAGCAGCATGGGCGCCGCATCGAGGGGGGTTATTCTGGCCTAATGGGGTGGTGCCGGCTTCAACGTTGTCTCGGACGTCATGTTGTTACAGTTACTTTCTTGCAGCACACTCTCAACTTGATTTCAGGTCTTTTTTGCCCTTGCAAATTGTTAGAGGGAACGCCCGCGGAGTGCAGCACCACCCAGCTACCCCGCCACCCCAACCCGACCGACCACAAGTCCCACTGCTAACTCAACCTGGCTAAAGTGCAGCACAGACACAAAAAAAAAAAGAAAGAAAAACGAAAAACAGGAGGAGGAAAAACTAAAAGCGACAGGAAGAAGGAGACCGAAAACAGAAGCCAGGAGCTGAGCAAGAAGACGGGACTCTGGGCCAAAGCGATTTGCCTTGCCAAAAGCTGCACGACCAACTTTGTAGCAACATCTAAACCTCCCCTCGCTCCTTCTCCTATGTATCTATGTGCGCGAGTGAGTGCGACAGCACAAGTGTTTTAATTTTACGACATTGTATGAATTTTACTGCTGGCACTGCAGAAACATCAGCACCGCTGTTACATATCGTTAGCTTCCTTAACGGACATATCCCACATCGCCAGCACCCCCTTTATAAGGGGGGTGGGGTTGGGGCTGGTGCTGGAAGGATGTGGGCTGCGAGTGGGGGCTTCATCCCCGTTGTCTGTGCCGTGCTCATAAATTGCAGCTTGCAAGCGTCAGTGCAATCAGCGTCATCAGCTTCATCCGGTTTATTCGAGGGTCCCTCGAACCGTGGGCCCCGCACCTCCTGCTCCGCCTGCTCCCCCTGCTCCTCCTGCTCCCCCTGATCCGCCTGCTCCTCCGCTGGTCCTGTCGAGAACAACGCCCCCTTGGATTTTCCCAGCCAACCGTGACAGCCTCTGAACTTAGCCGAGGTCTCTGGGGTTTACTTAGCTTGTGGGTAATTTTTTAAAAATTATACAAATTAAAATTGGTGTGGCTCTGCGATGGGCCCACTGTGCCTTAACTGCCGTCACTTAACGTTAACAGTTTACGCTTGCCTGCTGGCTAAAAAGGCTGGCGTTGCACTACACGCACACGCACACACGCACACCATGACAGCCAGCAGCTAGCACACACACACACGCATGCACTGCGGCGAAATTTGTGGTGGGAGATAACTTTCGCGTTGCCCGCGCCTTCACAGTTTTAAAGATTGCGAGCGAAAGGCCTTTCGACTTTTTTAAATAGGCAAGCCAAGTTACTCATGAGTAAATTATACATCAAAAGAAGGGACAAAGATACTTAGTCGATCAACTTTGTCATAATAACATAAGATACAGATACAAAACGTTTCTGAAACTATAAATCTTCAGGGAGAAATGAACTCTTGAGCTTGGAAGGCATTTCTCTGAGTGCAGCTACATATGCAAGCCTGAGGCTGCTCGTCCTTGTCTCGCCATCATTTTCGGAGCTGGGTGCTCGACGGCTGCTGCTTCTGCAGCGCTAACTGCGTAAAGTTGGCACTTGAAACTGTCAGCTTAAAAATGCCAGCTGCACACACACACACACACGCATACAGACACACTCGCTCTGAGCCGCACTCACACACTTGCAGGCGAGAGAAAGAGAATAAGGGCCATGCATGTAGTACATAAAATGCACAAAATGGCCGAACGACTCATGGCGAAAGTTGGTGGCCATAAGTTACAGGAACTTGGTAGAAAGAAGGGCGAGGTCGAAGGTCGAAGCCTCAAGTCCCCGAGCACCCGGCCATCGGAGGGGTCATAACTTTGGGAGAAAGCCGCGTAAAGTCCCGAATAAAATGCATATTTAAATACCGCCCAACTTAACCTTTCCGCTCATTACTCGCCTGCCATATATATTAACCCGTTCTTCGTTCTTTTCGGTTCCTTTGCAGATGGTGACGAGAACGAAGAAAATCTTTGTGGGCGGCCTCTCGGCGCCCACCACACTGGAGGATGTCAAAAGTTACTTCGAACAGTTTGGTCCGGTAAGTGAAGAGAACTGCTTTCCCCCCGTTGGTATATCCTTAACTATTTCAAATGGGGAGCCAGTCACATGCCAAAATGCTAAGCGAAATGTAGCAAAATAATAATCATAAAAAATCAGAATGACAGGCAGTGGAGCAAATCATGCAATCTATTCGCACTGCGCGTGTTTCCTCGGCAAAATACAATGTACGGGTAGATTTGTATATATATTTTTCTCTTTATTTTTTTTTTCTTGCCGTAAGCAGTGACACCTTCACTGGCTGCCACTTGCTATGTTTTGTTTGATCAATAAAAACGCCAAAAAAAGAAATACGAAGCCAGTGAATGAGCGAGAAAAAACCTCTAAAAAATTCGAACCAAATTCAATCTTGACAAGTACTGCAAGGCTCAGGACTCCACTCCGCCCCCAAAAGAGGAACTCCACTTAAAACACACACACACATATGCATATCGAGAGTGCCGCTGCAAGTGTGTGTGTGTGTATGTGTTTGCGGCTGAGTGCCGTTCGAGTGCTCTTTAAGTTCTCCATTCAGCCATGTTGGGCAAAAGGCCGAAACGGGGGGCTTTGCCAGACTTGTTATAGCGCAAAAAACAAATTTTTAGCACGAGCACCAAAATCCCGTGTTGTTGATTACGATACTAAACGAAAATCGATTTGCTAGACGCTTTTCTGCCTTCCCGCCGCCGATTTTAATGAGCGACTCTCTCGATCCTGTCGAAGCGCAAAAAAAGCCCCAAACACGGATTTTCATTAACGATGTGCTATCGCATGGCTGGGGATTTTTTCAAGAGGATAACACATGTCGAGTAGAGTTTAAGCATTAAATGGTTGCAGCTAGGTGGATAAGAAATTTGTTGGTGCTGGGGGAGCTTAGCCATACAAGTATTAAATCGTATATACTATTCAGTTCAGTCCTAAATTTATTTATAGTCGACCTTAAAAACACATTAGCTGGTAGCACAAGATTGAACCAAGGAACAGTTCAGAAATTCAATGCCCAACCCATACTTAAACCCAATAACTCAAACTTCATTTCAATATCCCACAGCTGAAAAAAAAGGATGCCAGCCTGCTCCCTTAAACATTATCGAATTTCCCAGTCACCCGGTGACAAATTTGAGTGATGAAAAACGAAAAATAAAAGAAAAAAGCAAGTAGCTGTATCGGGTAACAGCTAAAAATGCCATTATTTGTTTTCCCCAGCAAATTACGCAGCCTGCTCTCGAGGGGATTTTCGATTTTCTCGATTTCCCACAACCCATCCAAAACCCAACCCCCGCCCCAAATGAAACTCAACTCCGCAGGTAAAGCTTCCGATAATTGACATAAATTGGCGCAACTTTTTGTCAGCTCCTCGCCGCAAGACGTCAACTGCCATTTGCAATGCTCCACTGCCCCGCCCCCTTTATACATACATATTTACATATAAATATATGTATATCTGTAGCTACAGCACTTGATAATGCGAATATAATGACGAGTGAGAGGAAAGCAGCCATAAACGGCCATCAATCAAATCAGCGCTGGGTAACGAAATGCTTTTAAGTAATTTTCATCGTGCCCGGCGCAACTGTCAAAATCCATAACGATCAAATAGTGAAGATACTATGGGGCACGCAAATCTATGTATATACATATAGGAATTACATATTTTATGGGAAAGGTGAAACAATAGGCGGCTGGCGATTTAACCAAGCGCGAGTTCTTAATGGAAAACTTTTCAATTAATCCGCATTGCAAAGGAAATTATAATAATAACTTGGCTGCAAGTGTATAAGCCCGGCCATAAGCTGTGCGGAGAAACTTTCGACAGGCAAACAAAACAGAAGCCCAAGACCAGTTTTCCTTCCAGATTTCCTCCCCCTTCTGGCCAAGTTATTGATTACAACTAATCCCCTTTGGCTTTTGCCTGCCGCCTCATTGGGCAGCTGGGAAAGCCGAGGGAAAATCGAAAGAGCAGGAGCGGCGGTGTGCACATAGATTTTCGCCAGGTCCATAAACAAAATAGCCAAACGGCAACCGGCGGCTTAGTTTACCCACCTCGCGGCTTTCCCTACCTTCCCCTGTTCCCCATTTTTGGCGGCAGGTGACCAGCGAGTCGTTAATGACTTTAGCGGCCATTTTTCTTCCGCTTTGGATGAGATGAGCGCGGAGAGATTGCTCCTGGCAAGATTGATTAGCCGGACCAGTCGGGGCGCGCCATTCAATATGATTAATAGTTGCATGCGTATACGCTATAGCACCCACAACAACAGCTCCCCGATTCTATTCTATATAAAATATACGAGTATATATGTGATAGAAGAGATAGAAATTTATGACGCTGCTGTGCCAGCCAATTTCGTGTTGCCAGGGAAACCTTTTTATATCATTTTGTTGCGAAAGGCATTTCCAGTTTATTGTATCTCTTCAAGTACTATATTCAAATGTTTTCATAGTTGTCTGGCTGCATTTGCATTTTCATTTTGCGTTGCAAGGCTGCCACTGTCAGATGCCCTTAAAAATTCATTGTTAATTATTCTCTCATTTTACCAAATAGCAGAATAGGTATTGATTTCCTGTTCGAAATCTATGATATTTATTTTGTCGCCCATGCTTAAATATTTTTATCCGCAACACCTTTTGTAAGTCCAATATATGTATGCTGTTTTTTTCCTGTAGGCCGTCTAGGACCCTTTAAGCCCCACAAAAAATCCCCTTTTAAATGCAAATCAGAAAACTATTTTCCAAATGCGAAAACAAATCAAAAGAACTTAGAACTGAGGGAAAAAACGAATAGGATAAGCAAAACACAACGGGCGAATTTCAAATTTTTCCAGCGCAGGTTTTCTCTGCAAATGTTCTATTTAACAAACACACACACATGCAACGGGGCGGGGGGTGGAAAAGTGGGAAAGTGCCACCCAGCTGACCTCAGATGCTGCAACCTTTGGCCACTGATTTTATTGCAACTGATGCAGCTGCTGCTGCTGCTGCTGCTGCTGCAAGCTGGGCGATAACGAAAATTCCACATTCGGAGGGGATGGAAAGTGGGCGGGAGTCAAAACAGAAACGTAAAGCTCGTTGGCTAAAAAATTGCAAATAAACTACACATTTTGTAAAGTCCCTTCGCATGGAAATTGCCCAGCCAACTATCAGGATCTGGCAGCCAAGTCCGGTCTCCTTTGGACTGGCTCTTAAAGGTGTTTACGGTGTTTGCATTTGCAGATTTTCCTCGCACCGCACCGCACCGCACAGCACAGCACCGCAAAAGGTTAGTAAATTTAAGCGCTTTTCATAAGCATTTTATGAGGGCCAGGACCCCGAACTTCTAACCCCAACCCCCAACCCCCGATCACCAGCCCGGCAGGCAAATGGCCAAAAGTGCACCATCTTCTGGGCAAAATGGGAAACACTGTTGGTGCCAGGCCACTCAAATGTCGGATAACCTTCTTCTCCCTGCGGTTTTCCACCCACTTCGGTATTAATTATGACAAATCATGCAAAGCAAAGCCAAAACGAAAACAGCAGCGCAGAAAAAACCCCAACTAATTTCATTAAAAAACAATTTTTTATGATTTAATTATGGCAAGGCAAGCGAGCGAGAGCCAAAACACACTGTCGCAAAAAATAACAAATGGTCACTCGAGATTTAGTGTGAAAGATAATATTGTTCCAACGCTTGTCGAATAACTTGTGTAATGATACAAAGGTGTTTGCTAAAATGCACCATAAATACCTTAAAAAAGCAATTAGTATTGAAATATAAGGAAATCGATTCAATTAAATGTAATTGATGATGATTACTGAATTACTAATTGCTACAAGGGAAAATTGCCTTTATTGTTGCGAAAATGGTAAACACATTTTAAAGATGAGCAAGCTTAAAGTGATGATTTAATTTGTACAGATATTCAATGCAGTAGAACTGAATTGATATTAGCAAAGCCATATTTTTGCAAAACTCAAGGACATTTAGGAAGGGAGTAGCATTTCTCGCAGTGCCCAACTGTGAATGTGAATGTGAATAAGAATCCGAGTGAGTCCTGGCTGCTCCTGATTCTGTCGGAGCTCACCTGACTGTCATAACTGCGGGCAATTTTTGAGGCGTTCTGAATGAAGTGACTCGCCCTCTCTCTTTCCCCCAAGCTCTCGGCTGGCTAGCTGTCTCTTTCGGGGAAATGTGGGGCTTGAGGGGCATAAATTATGATGCGCAAATCTTCAGCTAGCTGAATGTAAATGTAAATGAAGGCACGCCAGTGTTTCTCTACGAGTGTGTGTGCCTGCGCTGGCTGTGTGTTTCAGTGTGAGTGCGAGTGTGAGTGTGAGTGTGAGTGCGAGTGCACGATGAGTGGCAGATTTGCATAATCCTTAGCAAAAGGTTTCATGACAACGCTGCTCGAAATGTCAATGTGGGCGGATGATGTGCCGCAGCCCACTTGACAAACAGCAGGCCCAAACTGAACTAAAAAGCCGAGTTGGGGAGGAGCCACCCCATAACCTTTCGAGCCACTCTAAACCGGTCCAATCATCTATAAGCTGCGGTTGCCTATACTCGTAATTAACAGCATGCGTGTGTGTAGGTGAACAAACACATGCACACGACAAACACACGGCAACCACTCAGCTGCCATTTACATAGCCAATTAGTTATACATAAACATAGAAAGCAGCAGCAGCAGCAGCAGCAACAGAAACAACCACAACAACGATGGCAATTTCCACCTTAATCCCTTGGCCGCAGCTAATTTAATTGTGTTCAATTTGGCATAAAGGCGTTTAATGCAAAAGGCATTTGGCAAACAAGTACCATCCATCCATCCATACATCCATCCGTTCGTCCGTCCATCCTTGTGCCGTAAACCCAACTAAAACAATGCAATACACATTTTTCATAGCTGTCAATCGAGGTTTGGGATCGGAATACCCTTCCATAAAGCCCTATCTTCGGTTGAGCTCAAAACCGATGGGAAATCAATACGATGCACCCCTTTTGCTTGCGATTAGGGTATGCGAAAA